AAAATATTAGTAAGATTAACGAATTACTCTTTGCTGATGACTAGCTCTTGATAAGTGAAAAGTAAAGTAAAGATCCCTTTTCACGCCTTAGGCGCATCGGGCATATGGGGAGAGCGTCCCATATTTTTACAGACCAGTCGGCACTTGGTGGGTAATGTGGTCAGCATTACGCCGGCCGTGTTTACTTCCCCAGGACAACCATCATGGTACCTATTTAAGGCTGCGTCGCCCTGCGCCGCCCCATACCATGATAAAAATCCACACAGCCAGCTGTGGGTTTCGATCGCGGTTTCATTACGAGTCGGACTTGCAACGCTTTAGCCACGGACGCTGCATCCTGCCCCTGATAGCAGTTGTGAAAGTGCCGCAGCATCTAACATCTATGAACGAAGAATGCAAAAACAATAATATAAGAATCGACTTTGAAACGACAGTAGTAATTGTCAATAGAAAGAAAGAAACGAAGCTAAGAAAAGCACTAGAGGGCAAGGGCATTAAACAGGCATCAGAGTTTAGGCTTATTTGTTCGAATATTGGGGAACGACATTCTCCGAAGATGGGCAATTAGATAAAGAATTTAAAATCAGATGCAGTAAATCAAACCAAGAATTGGGACAGCTACCCTCCCCCCACCCACCCACCTCCACCCACTCTCTCTCTCCCTGTCATGCATATAACGGCTGTAATCGTCACTTACACTAAACATTGCCACTTGAAAATGCGTTATTTTATTGTTCATTAATTACGGTTCACTATTTATTACGATAGCCAAACGACTAAGAGGACTTCTTCTTCTTCGCGTTTACCAGCTGTACACTCTGGCGTAAAGTTCTGGTTGTTCGTCCACTTCTGGACTGCAGTCCTGCTCCAGAACCTGAGTGTTGCGTGTGCATCAGTTTTACAAATCTGATTCAATTGAATGTAGACTGCTGGTTCCTTGCCTCTCAGGCAGATGCACTCCGACTTCAAAGGAAGCACCCCAGTAAGTCGACTCTTACGACATACTTTTTGGGAGGCAGTGGGTCTATTCTTGTTTTCCCCCACAATAGGGCCCCGGAACCCACACGGGGGACTAAGAGGACAATATCACATACTACCCTCTCCAGCGTAACCGTTACCTGATAACGCTTACACATGCGAATTGATCACACCTCACCACGGGTCAAGCACCACATGCCTGATGCGGCATCTGCGTGAAGATGATCATTTTCTAGTTATTGAATCATAAGTTAATGACAGTTGTAGTCAACATCTCGTCCTGCAGCTTTTAGTTCATAGAGAATCTGTAGGTACCCACGTCCAAACGGACTTTTACTATTATTGACCTTGAACTTCAAGGGACGCTTGTTAGTCCCAAGATATTTCCTGATTCCTACTGATTTAGCCTTCGATCCCAGGTATTTATAAGAGCGGATTCAAAGCTTTACCTTTTCACTCTGAGAAAGTAATGCTAATGATAAAAACATAGTTTTTGAATAGGAAATATTTGACAAACAATGGTGACAATCTTCGCTTGGTCGTCTTAACCGTTATCAACTTACATGAGTTGAGCTGAGCTGATTTAAGAACCGACATCACAACATTTGGGGCATTTCCATAAGCGCTCAGTCTCCATAATCAGCAGCCTGCGCGGAGTTCCAATACCAAAGGTACCAGTAGCAGTTTGATTATACGTCCGTCTATCCTTTCCTCTGAGCGCCGAGTATCAGCCGGAACACCTCTTCACTTTCCTCTGGCTAATTCTCACCAGCCTGGGATGATCAATTTGCTCCTCCGAACTGTTATTCTCTTACATGTACTTCAGTACCTAGTTTCTTTTATTCTATTTTCTCTATTCTGTGGCTCCTGTTCATACCTCTCATGCTTATCCTCTTTCTCCGTCTCCTTCTCTTCTTGCGCAGTCTTTCTTTGCTTCCCCCAAAACCTAGCTCTATTTAATATGTCAGACAAATGGTGACATCGACAAAAACATGGTAATGAGACAAGCCGGAAGTCTCCACTGGCACGTCTAAAGCGCTAGTTGACCTGCTGAGTCGGCAGCCAGCAGGAAGCTGTGCGTTATTTATGTGCAGACGTGGAGAATACGGAGGTAAAGATAGAGCTAGTCTTGAACAAGGTTTGAAATAGCTGTTTAAAATTAGAAAATATTGTTAACATTTCTTGTGACATTTACAGTTTTTTATTTTTTTTTTTGTCTCCAAAAGTTACTAGCGTATCCCTTCCATTACCTTAGATCAGCGGTTCTCCGTTTTTCTAATGCCCCGACCCTTGAATACAGTTGTTTTGTTCTGTCGTGCCCCCTCTCCATCCCCCTTCCCCCATTCATAAAATCATTTTCGTTGCTACCTCATAACTTAGGCGACCCATGAGAAAGGGTCGTTCGACCCACAATAGTGTCGAGACCAACTGGTTGGGAACCGCTCCCTTAGACGGTTGTGGAGCTTTGCCTGGAAGAGGTTTGGTGGCAGAAGCCAAAAATGTTTGCCACTGAGTTTTCGTA